ATATGACAAAATCAGGCAACATTATACCAATTATAAAGAGGTAAAGAATGCAAATGGTCATGAAAGTGGAAAATCAGATTTGGGCCACATTCAGCTGCGCTGTGAACGCAGCCGTAATTTCACACAGTTACATATTTTTTGGTACTGAGCCATTTTAAACACTTTCCTCACAAAGAACACAAATATGGTCTCACATCTGCATGACTTTTCATATGAATCTGTAATCGTGATGGCAAAATCCATTTTGTATTACACCGATCACAATCAAATCCCCTTCCTCCAGAGAGAATGTGCAGGTGATTTTTGAAATGGCTCCTTTTCGTAAACTTCTTGCCACACTCAGAACCCGGCTATTTCTTTCCAGAATGAGTTTACAAATGACGTTTCAGATCTCTTTTATAAGTGAAGTGAACACTTCCCACACTGTTGGCAGGTGTACGGCTTCCCTCCAGTGTGAGCTTTCATGTGGGCATTTATGGTTTCCAAAAATTTGAAAAAACTAACAATAATACTATAAGATAATAATAATTCTACGAACTCTACTAATAAGAACAATATAAAACGCACTAAGGATTAACGAGCTGCTGGATTTATGAATATTAATCAGGTGGTGTGCGTTCGCTCGAACTGATTCGCTGAAATCAAAACGGGGACGTTAATAGCTGAGCGCCAGCCAATGAGATTGTCGTTAGCGCATTAGCTCCGCCCACCACCGGAGAAACCGGCAGTTCTTCAAAGTGGAAGAATTCCATTATTTTGACAGGAAAATACAACAAAAAATATCGTTTACATGTAGCGTGTCAATTTTGCATGTTATGTAAGACTCTCTCGCTCTCTGTGCGTGTGTGTGAGACAAAGCGACAGCAAGTCGTGCGCTTCACACTAGAGTTTACGGTACGTCAAACACGGGTGCGCTGCACATCCATTCAGATGAACTGAAAAACAGCACAGATCGCTTGACGGAGAGAGAAACTCTGAAGCGCACAGTCAGAGAGTGTTCGGCGAGTGAAAATATATCTGTGCTACACTTATACTTAGCCTCCAACTCACACACTGGCGAGTAAAATCTGAGAATTTATTAGCCAGTGGCTAATATTAGACATAATGTAGCCGCAGAGAATGAAGATTTAGTGAAGCCATTTATTAATTAATAATGTTTTTTACCGTTTTCACAGTTTTGTGTAATTTGATATACTCGTCCTAGGGATATAATCCAATCACCACCAAACTCGGTCAGCATGAGCTAAAGTAATTGGGGATGCTAAAGTTTGCGAAGGGATTTTTAAATGGTTTGGCTGTGGCGAGGCAACCAATTTATGGCGAAAATAGGGAAACAGGAAGTGTCTAATAACTTTTGCATACATCGACTCAATTCAAAGTAGGGCTGATCCGACTGATCAGCTACCGATCGCTATCGGCCGAGTTTGATCGGCGGTCTCTATAAAGGCCGATCTCAAGCTGATGGCGTACGCGCCTGCCGTGAGAGGTTTGGCATGACATGCAGCGGCACCGTCTCGATCTCTGTCCAGCGTCAGGTACAGTTCATATTTCTTCGTTAAATAACTTACAAAGACATTTGAAAACTTTCTGAGACGTACTTTCACAAACAGCATGAGTCAATCACTACACCTCTCTATTTCTCTCTCAAAATGCGCAAATGGCTTCAAATCACCACATTGCGTCTGCACTCCCTTAGATCAAACTTAAGCACTTTCTTCCCCTATACTTCTCCAATTGTTATCGTACAGTTAAAACTGTGTCTACATGATGACAAAACACTGAGGAACCTAAATTGCGAACGATTTTTGGGAGAGCTGTGCAATTAATTAAAATACAGTTTTGTTTGCGGCCTCCAACGATTATACAAATACAATAATTGAGATAAAGCGATTATTGCGCACCATTCCAGCGGTGCGCTTTTCCTCCTCCATAAAAGCCTAATTTCACGTGCAAATCAGTAAAATCATGTAACGTGACTTTTGCAAAATGGGATGTGTTTGATTTATCAAAGCATATTAGATTTATTCTTGTTTTATAAGCATGAAAGAGCGCTGTTCCTCAAGGGGATTTCTGTGCATGCGCTCAGAGACGGAAAACAACACGGACGAGTCAAGTCAACTTTTAGCTTAAGGTGCACATAAAAGGTTAAACACACACAAAAATGTGTCAAAATGCGGCGCTTGGTGATTAATCACGTAGACGCTCGTCGGTTATGTAAACGGTGAACGTAAACAGTTGAAAATGAAAATACATGTGTAACAGTAAATTGAATCTGTGCGGCTCTTAAAGTGACAGCAGCCTAATATTCCTGCTGCTGACTGTGTGCTTAATAGTAATCAAACAACAAAAGACAGAGAAAATCACTCACTGCTCTTGACTACACATAAATACATAGAATCAGATTCACATTTACAGGAATGCCAATAATTGTGTTTTCTACCACGTAGAGCTGGACATCTGAATAAGCATCGCTCCTCTTTAATAAACGCCATCTTTATAATAGTGCGGCACGTGGATGACCTGATTAGACAAGAAAAAAGAACACTCAAAACTAGCACTACAATTTAATATATATTCATAACTCATATGTAGTTACTTGTTAAACTTGGTATTAATGACTAGTAGATCACATTTAATAGCTCAATATTCATATGTGCAATAGAGTGCTGCTGCCGTGGGGGATTATTTAGAGAAATTATTTGAATTGTATACCAATTTTTGGGAAAATTAAAGAAAACATACATTCATGGTTAATGAGAGATATGTCATTGAAAGGTAGATTATTATTATCCCAAGCTGAAGGGCTCTGAATGTATTTGATTAGTGCTTTTTGTTGTTGTTTTAATGCTTGAAACCTTTTCTTTTGTTAAGTTATTCCCTGGATACTGTTTACTTTCTTTGATGCTACTATGATTACAACAGTGACTACATTGTAGATATCCTCCGTATGTATATTTCTATGGATATTGTGTATTTCCTTTGATGCTAATAAATTCCACGGTTCTTGCTAAAAACTATAGACTTTTCCGAGCGGCTGACATTGAGTTAAACGCTTAAACGTTTTAAAAAGCACAAAACTCTCTTCATCCGACAAACGCTGATGACGTCACACGGCCAGACCATAATAACAGTCCCGTCCTCGCGCTCGAGTCTACGATCTCAAGACTCCATAGAAATAATAGAAATAATACAGTAAACGCCAGAGGTGTGTGCCATTCTGTCTAACAATGCAAAACTCAGTAGTAGTAGTAGTATGATGACACATTAATGTTTTCTTAAAAGTGTAATGATTTTAAAAAATAAATGATAAATCATTAAATAGAATTGCCTGTATTCTGTGTTTTAGTTTCATATGAGGTTTATGTAATTAACAACCAGGTTTCTACTTACCGCTTGTTCCATCTCTGTAAATCAGTTTTTGTGAAGGATTGAATGAATGAATGAATGAATGACTCTACCTGTTGCTTTGGGTTTATTGTAAAGTGAAATACATTGCTTGTTGAATATTATAGGTGGCATTTTTTTTATGAACTCTATGGAATATTGAATCTTTTAAAAAAGAAACTGTGTTTGAAATGTTTTCGTTTGAAATATTCACAGCTTAAGTATATATACAACCGTGTTGAATTTCAGCCCCAAAAATGCCAGGCCTGAAAAAACAATGCATTAAAATGCCAGCAGTGTTAATGCAATCCATTTGATTTCATCAGTGCAGTTCAACACGTGTTTCACACACTTGAACATTTTAGTTATATTCATAAAACTGATTACTTTTGGGATTTACTCTACCAATAGTGTTCAGGCAGTGTTTTATCACATTGAAAATATTTACCCAAACCTCTTCAGAGAATGTGTGAATCATTTATTATGATTACAATAAGAGCTTAACGTTATAATATATTGATAACTATTACGATTAAAGCTAAGATTAGCACTGATTATACATAAATGAATACAGACAGGTAAGAATCTCAGTTAATTAACAATACACCCTTAACTATCACATGGCTGAAGATAGATGTAGTTTTTTGCAGTGATAATAGAGATTCGTCACGATTAACTGACTAGCAAAAGAAAGCAGAGCACCAAGATGATCAGAGTGGAAGCAGTCGTGGCACTGGAACTGCAAAAGATGTCCACACACTCACTAAAAGAGACAAGAGACAGGTACAAGCATCATTAATGCAATAGAAATATACTCATTTCACTGCATATATTTGAATAACGTAAGGTGCATGCAGTGAATCATTTCAGCAGTTCTGTGAAAGACTCGTGAGCTCTGCTTCATTTGAGTCCGCTCCTCATCCACAGAATGTCAGGTTTGGGATTTTTGCGCTTCAGCATTTGTTTTGAAACGATCTGGCGTTATTATATGGTGCGTAAGAGAGAAAGACAGAGCCAGCGCAGGTTTATATATTTGTAAATAACTTATATATTTTTGACCAATCAGCCTTCTTTGGTTCAAAATCACTCTCATTGGTTGGTGCGGCAACACTTAAGTAAAACATATTCACTATTAACTACGACTTTTGCCTGAATAAACTCCTAATTTACTGCTTATCAAGAGTTAGTAAGGTAGGTGTAGCGTTTAAGTTTAGGTATGGGGTGGAATAAGGGATCTATAATATGGTAATGCAGAATAAGGCATTAATATGTGCTTTATAAGTATTAATAATCAGCAAATATGCCAGTTATGTGCATTTTAATAAGCAACTGGTCCCCAAACTAAGATGTGACCAATTATTGTAAACAAACTAAGACAAGTCAAGCATATTTTCATTTATATATATATATATATACATGCGCAATTAATCTGCTCTCTGGACATTTTCGGATGTGCTGTAAATCTCGGTTGTGGAGGGCCACTGTCCTGCAGAGTTCAGCTCCAACCCCAGTTAAACACAGCTAAATTAGGTAATGAAGGTCTTACTAGACGTACTAGAAACTTGCAGACAGGTGTTTTGGGGCAAGTTGGAGCTAAACTCATAATCATGATCAGATCAAAGTTGTGAAACGTTGAAGTTCTTCACGGTTACTTTAGGGCAGGGTAGAGAGTGCTTCTGAAGCAGCGCTGAGATATCTGGATTGATGAACAACATTTATAGAGATGTGCTCAGAAATCTCAATCTAATAATGCTCAGTTAATACTGCAGTTAAACTTGTTCTCGGAGGTTCCTTCACAAATCCTACCTTGCATGGTGAAGAGCAATATGAGGTCTCCACCCTTGATAAACTCTCTTCTAGCCAGATCTTCTCTTGTTAGGAGCGCAATAAAGGCAGATTGACCCAAAAATACAGACTCACCGCTGATGTTGGCTTCAGTTCCAACATTTCGAGGATTGTCCCAGTGATACTTGCCTTTTGAGAGAACAAAACATGGCTTTCAAAAGACCCATAAAAGCTACAGATAATAACATTGATTCTCATTTGAGTAAAATGTTTCATATAAACACATGAAAAATGAGAGAAAAATAATCAGATTGCATTAAAGATCTAACCATGATTAAATAAGTCAGGGTCAGTGGTGAAGCTCTGCTCAAAGGACATGCGCTTCTGTATGTGTGGATTCTGGTCCAGGATCTGGACGGTGATTTGCCTCCATGGACAAGGCCACTGCAGCTGCTCATCATATGCACCAGATACCAGAGAAATATATATTATAAGTTGATTCCAGGACTCAAATAACTCAGCCACAAAGCGATACCCATCACTGGAGTAATACAGTGGACTGTACCCACTGTCCAGTTTCTTCTCAAAGTCTCTTATCTGCCATATGAGGGGACACTCTGTCTCTGAAATATTGATATCGTCCAGTGAGAAGCCTCCACTGGAGTTTCCAGCTCCTTTACGCGCTTCAAACACAACTTGGAAAGACTTATTTGCATTCAGCGGCACATGATGCAGCTTCCAGTAATTCCCAGGGGTTTCTGCAAGAAAGCGAAGGTCAGTGACACTGAAATACAGGACTATATGTTGTGTGGTGTGTCCAGTTGTGCAGGAAGAGACGGACCTGTGATCTGATCCATGAGTCTGAGAGCTCCTGTGCTGTTTGCTTCATTCTGCAGCTCTCGGATCCAGATGTTGAGCTGGTCGGACTCGTGACCGCTGTGATAGTAGTAGAACTGCAGGCACTGGACTTTGCAGTCTCTCGTAGGGGTCAGTGTCTTGCTCTCCAGTCTGGCTGCGTCGCCCTCGTTTCTGCCCTCAGTGCTGAAGTGCATGAAGAAAGACGTCCCTGCAGGCATCAGAACAGCTGTTAGTTTATGGTGGAGCAGTGACTGCAGCTGTGGATGGAAGTGAGCTAATATAAGTGAAGTCTCTTTCTCTGACGTCCAAGCAGACACTTTCTGTAACGGGTCTCACCGTTCTGTTCTTTGCCCAAGTATGTGTGGTCGGTCACATTGATGCCACTCACTGACTTCTCTCTCTGCCAGCCGTCACCAGCAGCAGAACAGACGCTCATCTCACACAGAGATTCCTCATCAAAACTACAGTGGTCGAGGAAAGAGACCGAGGAATCTGTAATGCAAACCAACAAGCACTGAGACTAAATCAATTCATTACCATTTACATTCATCACAGTGGTCCTTGGTCGTCAAATATTGGTCCAGCAGGAATGACTTAATTAAAGACCACAAATGAAAACTGTCAAATACTCACTGCATTTGTAGAGTTTGTTGAGCTCAGTCACATCATATTCGCTCATTTCCATGAGCTGTCCGATCACGTCTTGGAACTCAGGACTCTTGGTTATGATCGTGGGTCCGTTAAAGTTGCTGAAGGCATATTTATCAAAATGCATCACAGAGTAATAATCATATGGGCTTTCTTGGGTAGTGGACACGTTCTCACTGCGCTTATTGAAATTACTCTCATACCCTAAAAATAAAGAATATTGCCATTATTAAGGTGATTGCACATAAGGCAAGGCTTGTTTTCTGTAAGTGCTCTTTAGTAATACTTACACTCAGTATGAAAAGCATATTAAAGGGGTCATATGATGCGATTTCAAGTTGTTCTTTCTCTTTGGAGTGTTACAAGCTGATTGTGCATAGATAAGATACCTGAAGTTGCAAAGACTAAAGTCTCAAAACCAAAGAGATATTCTTTATCAAAGTTAAGACTCTGCCACGCCCCCCTAAAACGGCTCATTCTAACACGCCCCCACATATCTACCTCACTATGTGGAAATATTAGCATAATGCCGCCCAAATGTGCACGCAAAGAAAGAAGGTGTGGTTTCAGTAACCGCAGTTAGTGTTGAAGCAGCATGTCAGGGAGACGCTGTGTGTTTCTAGGCGAAAGCAAAAGCACTTTATTTGGCCTTCCGAAAGTAGATGCATCGTGTGTGTGTGTTTGT